ATCCCGTGTTGACGGGTTTCGGAGTGGGTTTGAGTTTAAATTCAAACACTATTTACCGGGTTGGGTTTGAATTTAGGGTACCCGACCCATGGATACCCGCACATACTTATTTCGTCCTGAATTGCTATTCGTCGCTCTAAAATTTAAATTTTATCGCCCTAAACTTTATTGAAATGACCAAAGCAGTTAAAATCGGGATTTTACCTAAAATAAAAAACTGGGGTAAAATCGAATCGTAGGATTTTAAGTACCATGTAGAAATTAACATATAATAATATTAATGAGGTAAATAATTAATAACACAAAGACTTATAACATTTAAAGTGATAATTTTCAAGATTAATGTTCCAAAATTATCATTTTAAATGTTATTTAATGCGTAACTCAAAATAATTTATGAGGAAGGGATAGAGCTCATGGGGTTTGGCTCTTGTTTTTCATGTTGTGTCTAGGTAGTTTAACTCAAAGTAGTATTCCGACATCGTCTACTAAGCATGATTTAAAACTATGAATAACTGAAATCCAATAAAATAATTAATGTAATTGGTTTGGTACGAATATAATCATTAATTAAATAATTTATAAATAATGATGTTAATTCTTACGCACTTACAATATTTTGACAATTGTTTTACCGATGAGTTAAACAAGGAGAAGGGAAAGTGGTTGACCGAACCCTAATTAGTTTTTCTTCCTCTTTTCAAATGTTCTTTTTATAGGAAAAATATAGATCCCCGTCATTGCCCTTTCCACCGAAACAATTATGCTTCTTTTGAATTGGCTCAAGCTCCCTATTTTAGTTCACATAGGATCAAAATCCCGATTTTGGTACGATTCTACGATTTTAACGATTTTAATCCCGATTTTAACGTCCAGCGATTTTATAGTAAAATCAGGATCAGAATCTCTAAGTAAAATCCTAAAATCCTACGATTTTACGATCAAAATTCCGATTTTGACTGCATTGGAAATGACATATTCACCCCTAATCCAATTCTAACCCTCCAAACCCAATGACCACTCTGGGCAGAGAAGAACTGTCGCCACCGCAACTCAATTCTCACATCACATATGGCTCGAGAAAAACTGTCGTTGCCGCCGCTTCCAATCAACCCTCCATCCATCCAAACCAGATACACCCACTCAATCCCTCACCCGAATCCGCAGGTTCCATGTTGCTCTATTTCTACACCTCCCATGCTTCTGCTACAACCCAAATAGAAAGACGAGTTGACCGACCGCCTGCAGAGTCACTAATCCTATGACGGAGGAAGCAGTGGGTTGGTGATGAGAAAATTAAAGAGTAATGGTGGTGGTGGATCAATTCGAAGCAAGCCATGATATGGGCATTAACCCATGTTGTGAACAAAGCAGATTTGTTCACTCTGCTTCACATTATCCCTCCTTTCTCATGGCAACCAACCTTCACACTCCTCCCCAACTCCCTCGGTGCCCTCTGCAAAGCCTGCAAGCCTGAGTATTGTGTTTCACAGTGTTTACAAAACTGTTCAATATGATTCCTCTATTCCAAATAGCTCGAAAATTATTGAATTATTATTTGTTTGGTCTAAAATAAATGAACTAAGGGCATAAGAGTAAATTTATATCAATTAGGGTGGTGAATAAAAAATTTTAGGGCGACGAATAGTAATGCCCTATTTCGTCGCCCTACTCTCCCCAAACCCTACCCTAATTCTAATTTCCTCCAATCTAACACTTACTACACTTAGGGGAAATTGATGTTTGAATTTTATTTTGATAGAAATTGTAAATTTTTTACCACAAAACCATGGGTACCCATGAACCCGCGGATACCCAGTGGGTTGGGTTGGGTTTGAGTTTTTCAAACCCAATGGGTTTTACCCAGGATTTTTGTTACGGATAAACCCATGGGTTTGAGTTTGTGTTTGACAAAATCCGACTCAACCGGAACCATTGCCATCATTATATGGGTGGCGAAGGGAAGAACAGGTTGGCGCCGCAAGTTTGGTCCGACGATGAGCAGGATATTTTTTTATTGATGATTTGAGTTGGTTATATATAGTCGATTCAACCGACACAATAATCTAATTTAATTAAGAAAATTATTTTTACCAAAAATAATTAATGTTGGTTCAACCGAGGCAACATGATCGACAAAAAAAAAAATTGTGTCGGTTATTCCGGCGGTTGCCCAAAAATGACACAAATTTGAGTAGTGTTGACACAAATTTTTTGAGTGACAGTTAAAACCGACACAAAACAAATAAAATAACCGACACTAAATAGGTGTTTTCTTGCAGTGTTAGGGTCACTCCGGCCATCCCGGGGTCAATCACCCCGGGGCACCTTGGGGTCATTCTGGCCACATCGGGTCAATGATCTCGGGTCACCTCGACTACCTCGGGGTCAACCACCCCGGGTGATATGATCCCAATTGGATCAATCCACAATTCACAATTACTTGCCAAAGAAGTCATCTCAACTCACTTAAAGAATTCTGATTTTTGGCCAAGTGTTGAAACAGTTTCAGGTAGCCTACTTTAGAAGCTTGTAGCTCATAAATGGCTCAATGAAAATTGGAGTTCAAGGACTTGTATTAAAGATAAGGTTGCCATGTTTCCAATGGTATGCGTTTTGGATCCAGATGATGTCATTAAGGTTATTTTCCAAGGCCTCAAAGTTGCTACCTCAGAACTGGAAAACTGCCTGAAAATGGCTAAGGCAGAAAACTGTTTTGTGAAGCCTACTTTGGAGCTCAATTCAAGGAGCATGGAGGGAATTCAAGTCAAAGGGCTTCCACAACATGAAACTAGGTATGTTTATGTACAAAGGGAAGGAATTGGATGAAGGATTGGAGTCCGGGAAGGCTTTGAACGAAAGGCGTGAAGTTAGTACAAAATCTGTCTTTGACTGTTTTGCTGGCAGCTTACTTGTGCTTCAAGAAAGGTAGTTTAAACCCGAATTTTGTTTCATTTTTAGTGTATACTTTTACCTTAATTGTTGCCTAGTTCTATTAGGATTGTATTAGGTTTTATTTGTCTTTAAATACCGTTCTATTTACGTTGTAAAAACATAAGACTTTGATTAATCGAAAAACAAACCCTTTGGTTTTGTGCAAGTTGCGACTTGTTTGAGTTTGGTGGATTCCAAGCTTGTGAGATTTGTTTCGATTGAATATTCTCTTCAATCGTGGTCGAGCAGCTACCCTTTTATACCATACAAGCTTCCCCAGGTGTGGAATTGTCTGTTGGTTCCGTTTTATCCCAAGTTCGTATTAAGAGTGCTTCATTCTTGATTCGAGCTCAATCGATTCTTTGATTGAGTCGTTTGCTGCGTTACTTTGGTAAAAATACACCCCCAGGGTCGTATTACCGGGTCACCTTTTCGGCCACCCCAGGGTCAAGGGCCGGCCAAGAGGGTATCATATCCAACCAAACTCCTTTTCAAATGCTTTATAACAAACCACCATACCTCAATGAACTGAGAGTTTTTGGTTGCTTAGCCTAATCACATAACAAAATTTCAGCCTAGAGCAAGAAAAACTTTCTTCCTAGGATTTCCTTCTGGTATTAAAGGTTATATATTGTATGATCTCTCATCCCATGAGGTATTTATATCCAGAGATGTCATTTTCTTTTAGTCTCATTTTCCATATGAACCTAATCAGCAGCTAGATCAACCTTCCAATACACCTGATTTAATATTCTCATTCCTTCCACTAAATCTCACCTTGTTCATGATAATTCACTACCTCGTTCCCCTCCTAATCTCCCACCTCCACAACCTACCCTTCCTACTTCTCCACCACCAGCTATACCTGGTTCTTCCTCTCCTGGTCCATCAACCAATACTGACTCAACCATCAATTCTGATCCATCTCCTACCCTTCCAAATTCCCCACCACCTCCTCCTCTTCCCAGACGTTCAGACAGGACTTCCAAACCACCTTCTCACCTCATTCAAAACTACCATTGTTACCTATCTCAAGGTCCCAGCAGCATCAATCACTCAACACTACAACAGGTCCAAGATACCAGGTATTCCTTCTCCAACATGATTTCTTATGACAAGCTTTCCTCACATCACAAACATTTCCTCCTTAACATTTCAAGCCACAGAGAACCTCAAACATACAAAGAGGCTGCTCAACATGACATCTGGAATGATGCAATGCAGCTTGAAATCAAAGCTCTACTCAGAAATCATACATGGGATGTTGTCAGTTTTCCTAAAGGTAAAAAGCAAATAGGCAACAAATGGATTTACAAGGATAAGTTCCTTTTTGATGGATCACTTGAGAGACACAAAGTCAGATTAGTTGCAAAAGGAAATACTCAACGGAAAGGTGTGGACTATCAAGATACATTTGCTCCTGTCATCAAAATGACCACAGTCAGGACTTTTCTTGCCATTGCAGCCATGAGGAACTGGAACATACATCAGTTAGATGTAAACAATGCCTTCCTTCATGGTGACCTTGAAGAAGAAGTGTACTTGACCCTCCCTAAAGGCTATGTGCCTCCCTCTGATATCCCCAACCCAGTTGGCAGATTAAGAAAGTCGATTTATGGTTTAAAACAAGCTTCACGTCAGTGGTTTTCCAAGCTAACTGACAAACTACAACATGTTGGATACATTCAGAGTCAAGCTGATCATTCTCTCTTCTTCAAAGTCACTGACACCAGCTACACTTGTATTCTCATTTATGTGGATGATTTGGTTTTGGGAAGCAATGACATTAAGGAAATTGAAGAATTGAATTAGATTCTTCACAGTGAGTTCAGCATTAAAGACCTTGGCAATCTGAGATATTTTTTGGGAATTGAAGTGGCTCGCAGCTCATCAGGCATTCACTTATCACAAAGAAAGTATGCTCTGGAAATTCTAGAAGAGGCACAGGTTCTTGATTAAAAAACTGTCATAACACCAATGGACTACAAACTTCATCTAAGCAATGATTCAGAAAATGCCTTTGAAGACCCAGAACTATACAAGACCCTCGTTAGCAAGCTTATCTACCTCACTACTACAAGACTTGACATTAGTTTTGCCACTCAGCAACTAAGTCAGTTCATGTCATCACCTTCCAGCAATCATTACAAAGCAGTGTTGCGTGTCCTTCGTTATCTCAAATCTGCTCCTGCCACTGGCCTCTTCTTGCCTTCCAAAGGTACCTTCCAAATCAAAGCTTTTACTGATTCAGACTGGGCAGCTTGTGTGGAAACACGTCGATCAACTACAGGGTTCTGCATCTACCTTGGAGATTCACTAATTTCCTGGAAAACCAAAAAGCAACACACAGTGTCAAGATCCTCTTGCGAGGCAGAATACAGAGCTTTGGCATACACAGGTTGTGAGATTTAGTGGATACTATACCTGCTCAAAGACTTACAAGCATCCTGTTCATCACCAGCTGCTCTGTACTGCGACAATCAAAGAGCAGTTTATATCGCCAAAAATCCCTCCTTTTACGAACGAACAAAACACATAGAATTGGACTGTCATTTCGTTCGTGAAAAGCTTCAATCTGGCACTCTCAAGCTGCTTCACATCTCTTCAGTGCACCAGTTGGCAGACATCTTCACCAAACCGCTCTCCCCATCTCCATTCCTCTAATTACTATCCAAGCTTGGTGTGCGAAACATATGCCCACCAACTTGTGGGGGAGGGGGGGGGGGTAACAGATTGAAAATAATTTCAATTGCAACGGTCATCATCGCAGCGACGACGTATCATCCCTAGCGAACTGTTTCTCCTTCTGCTGCGTCGTTTCATGAGTCAACCCACTTCTCAAACGATGTTGTTCTAGTGAGACACTTTTACTTGTTGGAACGATGTCGTTCCCTTCTTCTTTCGGCTGTACTTTGCTTTAGGTCCAAATCATGTAATGTTTTCCTTTCCAAGCTACCAAACAAACCATCCATGGAGCTTGTCCTGTAATGGTTTTCAACTGCCTAAAAGAGGCAGAGTTTCTAATGAGAAAGACAAGTTTTAGGGTCTTCACCTCACTCCATGTTCTTTGTTACCCTCGTAGACAGAATATCCGGCAGACGAGTAGCCTTCGTCGGAATAGAATGCTGAGGCGATTCACACAGAACTCCACTACTGGAATTGGATTCCAGTACAAAGCAGTAAATTGAATGACTCTCGTACAATCAATTCACTCATATCGATTGAAGAAACTCTAGCAACCTAATCAGATTTTATCTATCATATGTTGAAGCAAAAATCAAAAGAAGTTTATAAGGATTCAATTGACTCAATAAGCACACTTCGATCAATTAAAACCAAACAGTACATCATCCCAAAAGTCATTACAATCAAGGTTCCTAACACATGAAACTAGGGTTCTTCATACCCAAGTGAGAGAAAGGTTTACTTCATAGAGAGAGAGAGAGAAATAGAAATCAGAGAAATCATACTCATAATGATGTATATGATAAGCTCTGGAATGTAAATCTTCGCTCCAAGGTCGAAATCCACACTTGAATGGTGAAACCCAGCTCAAAATCGATCCCAGGGCTTGTTCTTCGTCCTTTCTCTCTCTAAAACTCTGTTTTTGCTCTGAAAACTTGTTTCTCCCTTGTTTGGCTCGAAACAACTTGTTTAACCCAACAATAGGCAGAACACGGGCAAGGACACGGCAGTATTCTGCTCAATCAGCCGGTGTTTTGAATTCGTCACGTGGGAAACTTAATCTGGGCGCAGGAGGATTACACGACCGCTTCTGAAAACATGGTTGTGCCCCGTGATGAACACGCACGTGTTTTGGACTCAACGCGCCCATGTTTTGAAATCCTCAGCAGGTGCCGCGAACCAACCTTCGACATAATAAACACGATCAAGGACACGGTTGTGTTCTCGAAAACGCTGCCCGTGTTTTGCTCATGTCTCGACATCACACTCGCAATAAAAAGCACTGGCGTGCCTCGGGCGAAACACGACCGTGTTCCTAAGGGAAGCTGCCCGTATTCCTCTCCAGCTTTGCCGAATGACCTCCAAACGACCCGAAACTCGCGTCTTGGCCTTCCTTTAATGATTAGGACCTGAAATGTGACAAAAGAGCACAATCCAGCGCAAAATAGGCCAAGGAAACACATATTCGAGCCAAAGCGGTTAAGAAACAAGGGTGCAAACATGTGCAAATAAGAGGTTATCACACCTCCAGGTCACTCCCAGAGTCGACACACCGGGTCACTCTGACTAGTCATGGGGTCAATCACTTTAAGGCACCCTTGGAGTTAGTCACTTCAGATCACTCATGTTGCTCTTAAGGTTAGTTACTCTGGGTCACTATGTAGCCAGAGGTTCCCCAAGTTAAGGTCATAAAGCTTCTTGAAGGTCAATGAAGCCCAAGAGTTGTATTGCGCATCTAAGAAGACATTGGTGATACCGGAGCAATTGGATAAGCTTGTTTCTATTCGCATGAAAGGAAGGCAATTTGGAGTAAACTATGGTTGCATTATTTTCGGCTTAAGGCCATTTTGATAATTTGAGTATTCTAGATCTATTTCAACACAAAATTCACTTTCTAATCATCCTTCTCCAACTTTATTTATTCTACTTTAATGGACTTCAATTTCTCTTCCAATTGGGATTCTTGTCAATTCGCTTTTCAACTCCCCAATCCTCTTATTGTAGTTAGCCAACTCATCTTCCTTAGAGGCATTGTAATAAGTTGGGTAAAACCAACCCACATCTCCAAGTTCATCAATATGCTAATCTCTTCCTTGACCACCTTCACCTGCTCCAGTCACTTCCATATCCTTCAATATCCTCTCCATTTTCATCAATATCCTCATCTCTCTCTCTCTCTCTCTCTCTCTCTCTCTCTCTCTCTCTCTCTTCAACTACTCCAGTTTTGCCCTCATGTTTTTCAATACCCTCCTCAATTTGATCACTACCCTCGCCAACTTCCTCTTCTCTGCCTTCACCTGATGTAGTTGAACTTTACTTGCTACCAAATCCAATACAATTTCTTCCCCCGCCACTTCCCTTCCCAAACCTAATCCCAACCAACTCTTCTACTCCAAGTTCAACACCCCCAAATCACAGAGTATTGTTGCATGGAGGCTTAATTTTAACAATCATTATGGCTTACAATTATATTAATGGACACAAAAAACATAGATGAAATCAACAATGTCTAACTAATCCTAAAACAATATCAAAATTTGATCGATGAGGTGGACCATAAAAATCGAGATTGATGAAGAAAAATATGGTTGCAGAGAACATTAGCTATGAATAAAACAAACATGAGCGGGCATATTGGAATTGAAAATAACTTTTTATGGGGTAAATTGCAAGTTTGGTCACTAAAATTACTTAAAAAATTTACGTTTGCTACTAAAATTAATTTATTTCATTCGTAGTCACTTAAATTAGTTTAATAGTTCAAATTTGATCACTCTCCGTTAACTTTATATGACGTGACAGTCAACTGTTATAGTTGACCGTTAAATAAGTGACGAGGCAGTTCAAAAAATTTAAAAAATAAAATTTAATCTTTTAAAATTTCCACCTCATTATTATATTTGTTGAAAAAGAATACTATTTTTTTTTCTAATTCTTAAACCACCCATAGTGAAATCCTACCAACCTAATCAAACCTTCCCCTCGTCTCCGCCCAAACCAACCCTAAGCCTGCTCCGGCGGCCACCACCCGCAGCCTACCTCCGACCTCGCATTATCCCGACCAGCATTAAAAGAGAAAACCAGTCCATCTATTCACATATCAAAATCCTCACAGTATCCCACCATCTTCAAAAAATACATCTCACCTCCCTTGTCTTTGATGGCTTTCCATCTCCGCCGCAAATAAGAATCATTCAACCAAATAAGAATCATATAAGCAAAGATCCAGGTGGTTGGTCCGAATCCAAGCCTGAATCAAAATTTCACCCATGAATGGCGCTCAAGTTAACCCTAAAATAAACAGCCTGAATAAAAGTTTCACCCGTGAATGGCGCTCCGCTCGCCGTCCCAATCCCAGCGCCGGAACTCGCCAATTCATCACCAGGTTCCTCATTTTCTCCGCCTCCCAAAATGGCCAGGCCTTCGACAAGTACGGCTGTGGAGTTGCCGATTCATCCACAGTCGAGGGTTTCATTCCTCTGTCGACCTTTTTCCCCAGTGTCTGAACCCGGGGAGAATCGACGCCAAGCTGGAGTCCCTGTCTTCCTCGAGAACACGAACCCTAAATCCTTAAACCCTTTCACCTCTTCGAACTCCAGTCCAACCCGCCTTCCTCCCCATTAACCCACATCCACGACCACCAGCAGGGTGCGTTAAAATAAATGTCGGTTAGTTTCATGTTGATGAATTACAGCAGGTAAACTTTGAGATGAATTGAAAAAGGAGGGAGGAGAGTCCAGCTTTGTAATCATCGGAGGTGGGAATCCCCGATCTTGTTCTGGAAGCGTCGTGGCGGAGTTGCACGGGCGGAGTAGTGGTAGGTCGGGATATGGAGAGAAGAATGAAGGAGGAAATAATGTTTTGTTTTATTTATTTTTTAATTTATAAGGATGATGAGGTGGAATTTTTAAGAGATTAAATTATTATTTTTAATTGCCACTCATTTATTTAACGGTCAACTTTTAGTGTTGACTGCCACGTCAAATAAAATTAACGGAGATTGACCAAACTTAAAATGTTGAACTAATTTGAGTGACTACGGATGAAATAAATTAATTTCAGTGGCAAACATAAACTTTTTAAGTAATTTCAATGACCAAACTTGCGATTTACCCCTTTTTATGTAATGGTGATCTTATTTTATTATTTCAATAGCTAAGCAAAGAACAAAAAATACAGCAAACAAACAACCGGAAAAGTAGACTGAGTGCTAGGAAAGTACAACTGCCCATTTTCTACACAAACGTCTCCTTTGATTTCAAACAAATCTAGTCCCCAAACCATCGTTCAAATTCTTTTCCTATATTTTATTAATCAATCACAAACAACAAACTTAGATAAATTGGAAAAGAAATAATAGTCTACGAGTTCAAACATCATATTAGGCAATAGGATCAAAAGAATAGATCTTCTGCATGTGTTGCTTATGAGACAACCTGAAAATGAAACTTGTTTTGTTATTAATCATAAAGATAAAACTATGAGACAAAGAGAAGAAAGGAATGACTTGCATATGTCAAGCGATTAACCTTGGACGAAGACCGAAACCCATTCAAGTTCAAAGTCTGGTATAGAAAGAAGAGTAAAAAAGGAAGATATTACTGATCAAACATCATCTTCGGCAATAGAAGTAGCAAAATAGTGCTTCTAGAGTTCATCGATTGGAGAGATAGAACCATTGAGCGATGTAGTGCGGAGGAATTGAGCTAGATAGGCCATACCCGAACTACTTGATTGAACTCCATTCTATTTTCCATTGACTTATATCGGAGTTGAAATCTTCAACTTGCCCATCTTCAATCTTCAACAATCAAACAATAGTGCTAAGAGATACCAGAAGATTGATTTCATAGACGGTCTTGTACTAGGAAGTGAAGAGGATCAAACTATTGCACTATGGAGGGAATTTGAGAGGAACTTAGAAAGGGATAAGAACAAAGATAAAAAAGCGCAAAAGAAAATTAAAAATTAAAAAATGTAAGGACACAACGCGTAGTAAAAGATATATCAAGCTAATTTACCATGTTAGTCAATTACCAATTTACCCTTAGCAAAAATTAAGGAGAGAGCATGAATTTTAAAATGGAGAAAGTTACATGAAACTCTACTATAAAAATCGATGCATCAAGCTAATGATGTTGGAAAAGTCCTCCGATTTTCAGAGTTTAACTTCTTCTATGTTTTGTATTAAAAAAGATAGAACAAATTTATTTAGTGTAATTAGTTACGTTTGTTATCTTTGTTTGAAGAGACCTTGATTCAAATCTTGATATTGATATTTTTTTATATGAACTAATAAAGAATTGTAAAGATTAAAATATCTTGCTTACTTTCTCTCTCGATTATAGGAAATTTGAAATACAGAAAAGTATACAAAACTCTACTATATATTACTAGCTTTGATCTCGGCCGATGGTCGGGAAAATTTCATTTAATTATTCATATTTGTTCATTGTTATACTTTTGCTACAAATATCCTTTTTTATACTTTTGCTACAAAAGTATATTTATTTGTAGCAAAAGTATATATTTTAATAGTACTCTTAGTTTCGAGATCAAAGCTAGGTTTCACGATGATTATTCATATTTATTCATTGATTATTCATAATAGTACTCAAATAATTATACTACAAATTCGCTAAAAGTAGCTATTTAAATAAATATATTTATACATGGTGAAACCTTACGAAGGTGGTATCGGTACAGCTAGAAGTAGGATATTTTTTACTTCAATTGTGTTTTATACTCTAAAAACCACCTACCGATAGGAATTTGTACCGTCAAACAATCGGTATGGTGTGGTTTCGCAAATAGTGTTATTTATGTGTCCCCTTTATGATGTGATAGGATCTTGTTTTTAATAAATATACGGGTCACCTTGGATGGGATGCTCACCTTGGAAATCGATTGTCAAAGAAGACCCGTCTTTTTGGAAATATGCTATGGTTGACCCGGGAGGTGGTGCGTGGGTTTCTTTCTGGCAGGATCGTTGGAACCATGGTACGACACTCGCCGAGTCTTTCCCCAGAGTTGCCGCCGCTTCTGCTCTCCCTCAAGGTTGGGTCTCCGAGTTTATATCCTTTTCTTCTGAGGGGGTGAGTTGGACTCTTCCTCTTAATTTTTCTCTGAGAGGGGGGGCTGAGAGGGAGAGGAGCGAGCTTTTTAATTTTCTGTCAAACCTTCCTCTTGGTTGGATTTCTTGTGGTCCTTGCAGGATGGTTTGGCTACCTGACCCAAAAGCAGGTTTCTCTGTGCACTCGATGTATCGCAGCATCTGTGACGAGAAGCTCCCTGGAGTGATGGATTTCCCGGCTCGTGCGGTGTGGCGTTCTAAGGCTCCTTCGAAGGTCAATGGTTTTGCGTGGCTTCTTTGTCACAACCGCATCCTCACGCGTGAAAATCTGAAGAAGCGCGGCTGGAACGTGGTGAGCAGATTTGCGTTGTGTGAATCTGATTCTGAGACAACTTCACATCTTTTCAGAAGCTGCGAGTTTAGCATGAGGATTTGGGACAGGTTCTTGAGCGTCCTGTCCATTGTGGGCCCCTTCCCGCATGCTCTGAAGCAAGTGTTTGGGTGTTGGAGCTTCAATGATCCTTGTGTTTGGACGGATTGGTTTCGACAGCTGTTGCTTCATGCGTTTGTATGGGAGATTTGGAAAGAACGAAATGGCAGAATGTTCAATGACAGGAGCAAGTCCTGGCAGGCTGTGTTTCACAGGATCGGATGCACGCTTCGACATTGGATATTGGTTGCGGGGATGATTAGTGAGCAAGAGGCTAGATTGTGGTCGAGTATGATGGCGCGGGCGTGTCCCTCTTCTTGAGCGTTTCTGATTTGCTTCTTCTGTTTTGTGCTTCCAGTTGGTTTCCCCCCTGTTCTCTTCCTCTGGTTTTTCTTTTCTTTTGGCGAATTGGTGGGGTGTCCCCTCCTTTTTCCCTTAAGTTTGTTTTTTGTGTTTGTGTCTGTACTCTATATACACCTCTGGTGTATTTTCTTGGCAATGCATTTTCATCATTATCCCAAAAAAAAAAATATACGGGTTAACTATAATTCATTTTGTAAATTAGTCAAAAGTATATGGCATTGAAGATTTGGTTGAAGTTGATGGATTGAGATAATTTAAAGCAAGCAGAAAGTGCAAGTGGTAGACAATCTGCTCACTTTGCTATTAAGGCTTTCATACACACACTCGATAGAACTCCAAGTTATGATGTTATACCAGTGTTATTAAATCCGAGCCGAGCCGCTCGGCCCGACCAGTAAAACCGTCATCCGGTCACAAAACTGGCTCGGAATAGTCTAAAAGTCGCTCCGGTTTTATGTAGCTGTTGACGAACGGCCGAAGCGGTTGACCATTGGAGCCGATCGAGCCGCTCGTCCGGTTTTTCCATTCACCCGTTAAATTTAATTAAAAAAATGGAGAAAATTGAAAATTGAAATAAACAAAAAACGTCGGGCTCTCAAGCTGAATCCTTATTTCCATTTCACAATTTCGAAAGAAAGACGAGCTCTGATTAAGAAATGTCCACTATTTATATTGATAACGTTTATTAGGTACCGATTCTCTAACAGGTTTTAAACGGTCTAATACCGGTTGGACCACTAAAATACGAGCCGTTCGTATTAACGGGTCATGCTCGGATTCAATTCTGACAACATTGTGTTATACACCAAACTCACACCAAACTCATATTGGTTGATCTACTAAACTCTAAGCATAGTTAATAAGCCTCTTTATACCAATCGCTAATCTCTTCAGATTAGCTAGATCTAAATTGAAACCAAAAACTTCATCAACCTAAATCATACTCTACTAATTCCTTCACAACTTCACGAATCTAATATGACAGTAGGCAATCCAGAAAGACAGCAACAAAATTGTACTCTAAATTGGAAGTGCAAAGAAGATGTCCGCAACTTTAGCAACCTACAAAAACATATAAGAGTCGAGCAAAACAAAAGGGATATTTAGAAGCGTTTCCAGCCTTAAGAGTTCCAAATCTCTGTATTGGAGAAACAGAGTTCACAATGGAGCTCGACCCACCACTATAGCTAATGCAAACTAGTATGAACAAAGAAGATTGCTGCAGAATTTGGAAATCAATATGAAGCAACAGTGAAAAAAGACAGCAAATAGAAAATGCATGTCATCTATTGATGTCATTCAAAGCATACTTGTTGTGATTTTAAAACATCAACTGACCTTTTATAGTCGGGGAAGAGTATTAGAAATTATAATTGAAGAACAACACTAAAGTAAAAAGAATTTTGAGCGACAATCCATGATGAACATAAATGAACCACTAATTGGAATTGGAACTACGCATCTGTGACGGAGGATTCCATCGGGTCAATTGGATGGCGATTAGAAACGAAAGAGATTGAAAAGGACAATTCGTAATCAAACCGATTGAGATAAAGACCCTAACGGTAGATGATTTAGTTGGAGTTGATACTATCCGTTACTTTGCATGCTACTTTCTCCAGTACTCCCCCAGATCTGCCGACTCCAATCGCCTCCTCTCGTCTCCTTATATATGTCGACTCCAACTTCAGTATGATTTCCCCCCGAACTCTCAAGACTCCATCGCGAAATTTTTCAACCATTCATCATGGCAGAGCGTGGTTGAAATCGACGCAGAAGTCAGAACGGATTGTCAAATCAAAGCGTATCAGGATTCAGGATCGACTGGGCACCGGTGGTGAACGATTCAGCGTGGTGAAGTTGATAGTTGCAGGTTTCACGTTTTCTCAATGCAGATACGGGCGGAGATGACAGTTCTGCAGAATTGGGAGAAAGAAGTCACGGTGAATGATAAGAGAAGAAAGGGGCATCGGACTCGGAGACGGAGAAGAGATTTTTTTTTTAAT